TTGGTTGTAAGTTTGTATTACACTTCGCATTTGTAAGACTTGGAAATGTACTTTAGAACCAATAGAAGCTCAGATCTGAAATGGGGCTAGCTAAGCTGTCTTATGTAGCGGAGAACTGAATTTCTGAAAACTTAGCAGTTTGATTTTTTTTCCTCTTTAAGGTGGTCTCATGGATTATAACCATTTGGATATTTGGTTCACTGACAATTTTCTTACTGGCCAGAGTTCTTGGTGGAGAAGTAAGTACTTCATTTTGAAAAGTATTTTTCTTAGTGTTTGTTTTTATGCTGTTTTCTAGACAGTCTTGTTAGATAGCCCTAGCTAACCTGGAACCTACTATATGGATGACACTGGCCTTGAACTCACAGAACTCTGGACTCCGTCTGCCTCTCCCTCAAGTGCTGGAATCAAAGGCATGCGCCACCATTCCCAGCCACAATGATAAATAGTTCTAGATCTCAGAATTGCCTTTAAGTTATACTGGTTCCTTTCAGATGATCCATATATATATTAAATCTACTCTATAAACACAAGGAGTGACGAGGAGAGATCCCTTCCCGCTTATCAAATACTGTATTGCTCTTCACAGAAGCATAGAGTTGACAACCGGTCTTCACCTAGTTGTCAGTTGCCATAGAGATTTCTCAGTGTTTGTCCAATCAGAGAATAGATTGGGTTTTTGATATTTTTCTCCAGGCAGTCTCATAGATGAGGGCTTCAGCTTTTGGTCCTCTTGTCTGTATCTCTGAAGAGCTGGATTGCTAACACGTGCCACCACTCTCAGCCAACAAATTAAAGTAATTTAAAATAATTAAAGTTAACAAACTGGCTATATTTCAAGTGTAAATACTACATTTACCTAAAAATAACTTTTTACAAAGCAGAATTTTTTTTTTTTTTTTTGGTTTTTCAAGATAGGGTTTCTCTGTGTATCCCTGACTGTCGTGAAACTCACTCTGTAGACCAGGATGGCCTCGAACTCAGAAATCTGCCTGCCTCTGCCTCCCAAGTGCAAAACAGAAATGTTAAGAGAATAGCTTAACACATGGCTTCATGGAAGCCAACCTTTAAGACCGGCTTTCTTCATTCAGTGTCTTATGATGTCTAGTTTTAGTTAAACTATATGAGGAGAGCAAGGCTTCACACAGCTGAACAGCTAGAAGATCGAGTATTTCAATAGCTTTTTCAGTTTACTGAACATTTCGTTCCTAAGTACTACTCCAAAATGCAACAAGCAGTAGTTTCTTAAAGTTTTGTTGCAGTTAGGAATTTCAATATATTATACATACATACACTGGTCATTAAAAGTTACTCCGAGTCGGGCGGTGGTGGCATACACCTTTAATCCCAGCACTTGGGAGGCAGAGGCAGGCGGATTTTTGAGTTCGAGGCCAGCCTGGTCTACAGAGTGAGTTCCAGGATAGCCAGGGCTACACAGAGAAACCCTGTCTTGAAAAACCAAAAAAAAAAAAAAAGTTACTCTGAGGTCTGGAGAGTTAGCTCAGTGGTTAAGAGCACTTGTTCTTGCAAAGTACTGGGTTCAGTTCCCAGCAGCCACATGGGGACTTGACACTTGCTCAGGCACCAGGCATACATGTGGTGCATAGACATACATGCAGACAAAACACTCATGCACACAAAATTAAAGAAATAATTTAAAAAACAAGTTCTTCTGAACTGATTTTGCAGCATCATACCTTTGTCATTTATAAGACATTACTTCTGCCAGATGTGGTGGCACATGGATTTAATCCCAGCACTCAGAAAGAAGAAGCAGGTGGAGTTCTGGGAGTTTGGTCTACAAGATGAGTTCCACAACCACCAGGGCTACACAAAGAAACCCTGTCTCAGAAAATAAACAAAAAGTTACTTTATTCTCTCTGTGTGTGTGTGTGTGTGTGTATTACATGTATGCAGTGTAATGATCTTTACTGAAGATGGTTACATACATACACAATCCTGGAGCTAGAGACAGGGTCTGGCAGTGTGGGTTTTGAATATCAGAATACTGAAGCATATTGAAAGTATCGTGGTAAGAAAGCTCAGAATATATAAGATGAGATAATAATGGAAATACACTGGATGTGATACTTTATGATTTTTTTTAATTTATGTGGTTGTGTCAGTATGATGTTGAAAAGTGATTTAGTATTCTGATTCCTGTGATAACTTATTCACATTTTTTTAAAATTCACAGGTTGCATATGGCCAGGTTCTTGGAGTTATAGGATATTCATTACTTCCTCTCATTGTAATAGCCCCTATACTTTTGGTGGTTGGATCTTTTGAAATGGTGTCTACACTTATAAAAGTAAGTTATATGGTGTGTGTTGACTTAGTTTGCTGCTGTTTTTTCTTTGTTGGTTTGTTAGGTTTTTGTTTTTTTGGTTTGTTTTTTGAGACATTTCGACTCTTGCTTGCCTTGAATTCAAGTGGTGTGTGTATGCCAATATGCCTGACTTCAAGTGTCTCTTTTTAATATTTATTTATTTATTTATTTATTTATTTATTTATTTAATGTATGTGGGTACACTGTCGCTGTCTTCAGACACACCAGAAGAGGGCATCAGATCCCATTACAGATGGTTGTGAGCCACCATGTGGTTGCTGGGAATTGAACTCTGGACCTCTGGAGGAGCAGTCACTGCTCTTAACCACTGAGCCAACCCTCCAGCCCCCAGGTGTCTCTTTCGATAGAGTTTACAGGTGATTATTATAATGAGGTTTCTTTTCTTTTTTAATTACAGAAGTTAAGAAACAGCAAGGTTAAATGTTCTGAAAAGTCTCACTTCCACCAGCCCACAGTGGCACACGCCTTTAATCCCAGCGAGTAGGAGGCAGAGGCAGGTGAATCTCTGAGTTTGAAGCCAGGTCTATAGATCTAGAGCTAGTTCTAGGACAACCAGGGCTACACAGAGAAACTCTTTTTTTTTTTTTTTTAAGTCTCACTTGGTAGATAACTTTTCTAAATATTGTAAATGTTCTTCTTGATACTCAAAATGTTGACTGCTTTGCTAATATACTGCCTTATTCTTTCTCTTTTTTAAAGCTGTTTGGTGTGTTCTGGGCTGCCTACAGCGCTCCTTCATTACTCGTAGGTGAAGAATTCAAGACCAAAAAGCCTCTGCTCATTTATCCAATCTTTTTATTGTACATTTACTTTTTGTCCTTATATACTGGGGTGTGATCCACGTTGTACGTGAATCAAAAAGATGGTGTTACATTTGTATTAAGCTGGGAATTCTTGCTGGAAGGATTGGAGAAGACATTACTAGTAAAATTTTACACATTCCAGATAGAGAGGCAGGCTTAAAGTCTTTTTAAAACAATATTTTTTGTATTTAAGTAATTGCAGTTAGTTATCTGGGATTTTTTTGGTCAGAATTCTGAATTCTGTTTGGTTCTTCATATTCCACAAATAAATAAAAAGCATTGTGTTTTTCAGATTGTGTCAATATTCACTTGAACACTTGTACCAAAAGCACCTGGATGGGTAATTGTGTTTCACTTGAAGTTTAAATTTGACAACATCCTGAAAATCTAAAAGTGCAATTTTTTTCTTTAAAGAATTTTCTCTGGCACCACAGATCCTGTAGATACCCTTTTATATTTATACATATATATTTATGAAATAATTCTTAGTCACAAAATATATTCCTGAATAGCCTAAAAATTAAGATAATAAATCTGATGCTTAAATTTTCTTAATTTGGCCATTGTTGTTTTTTGTTTAAAACTTAAAATTTGCCTTTTAAATTGTTTGTAATTTTTAAAAGTTGCTGGTGTAGATTTGGTTTGTGTGTATGTGCTCTTAAAAAACAGTTTTGGAGGCAGAGACAGGCAGATTTCTGAGTTCGAGGCCAGCCTGGTCTACAGGTCTACAGAGTGAGTTCCAGGACAGCCAGGACTACACAGAGAAACCCTGTCTCGAAAAACTAAAAAAAAAAACAAAAAAAACAAAAAACAGTTTTGAATGTCTAAACATTTGCTTTAAAGTTTTCTGTTTATCTTTTTGACCAAAGGAGCAAGAGATACAATGGATATGGCATTCATTAAAATCATTAATATATAGGAAAATAATATTTATAGCATCAGTAAATATTCTTAAGTGGTACCTTTAAATCATAAAAGTTATAGGAAAGAGACTTCTGAAGTCATGTTGTCTTGAACAATGTTCTAGAAAGTAGAGAATAAAATGTTTTCCAGCTGTGTATTCTACAATACCTTGTCCTATGTTACTTGATACTCTTTTTTTTTTTTTTTTTTTTTTTTTTTTTTTTTTGCGCCAAGCTCTAGTAGAGTAAAATGGTACCAAGGTCACATTCTTCCCAGCTTCCCATAAGCTGTAGGAGCAATGTCCTCATGCTTGTGGATTGGACATTCCTCTGTATTTTTGTGCATCTCTTGTGAATTCTTTTTCTGGCAACAGTTTGTGCTTTGGAAGTGAAGGGAAATCAAAACAAGATGCAAATGACAAGATGCAAGTCACAGTTACAATTTGTATGGTAAGATGGGGTCACCTCCGTGCTGACACCACAGAATTATTTCCTCTTGTTTTTCTTTGCTATGTGAAGCCTACATGCCTAGGTCACATACACTGCATGTTCCCTTATCCATGCTAACTTGATCTAAGATGCATGGATCCCTTGGGGACCTGTGCCTAGTAACAAATGTTATCATTGGGCTGAACTAACCACAAGCAAAAAGTAAGCCTATGGTTTGTTGCTATCTTGACTGGTAACCTCATCAAAATGGAACAGACTTCATGTCTTAGCTACAGTTGCAGCTAGTGATGTCATCAAGATGGAGACAGCACATGACAAAGGAGGTGAGGCTTAATCTTGGTTAATGCCACATGACATAAATCAAAATGACATCAATAGAACTTCCTATTACCAGTGTGCTCTCAAGAACATGCCACACTGTTTGGCTTTTTACCTCCCCAGATGCCTAGTTAGATCATGGAAATGGGAAACTCCAGTTACATGCTTTGTTTCTTAATATTAAAGGTCAGTGTATTTTTTATATCAGATTAAGGAGGTAATGCCAGATATTCATAGTAGATTTAAGAAAAATTGGTAATTGTTTTGTGTGATATATTTGCTGGTTTCTAGAGAAAACCAATTACGTAAGCCATGTAAGGTAAGCCATGTATGTGCCTCTAGCCAGCTGTGAGAAGGAGCTGACTCTGAAATGGCTAGGCTCCTGTGAAATTGCAGCATCCCAGAACCAAGTCTGGTAAAGCACAGATCCCAAGCAAGACCCAAGGACCCAAAAGAATACTGGGTGCTTTACAAGCTACTTCCAGCAGGCAGCTACAACAAGCTGAAGACAAATCATCTTGCTTGTGCCGGAGGCTAGAGATGTGGGTTCCTCTGGGTCTTAGTGCTTGGTGTCTTCAAGCCTTATTTCTGCTTGGTATCTTCAAGCCTCTTTTCTTACTGATATGGAGTGTTCTTGCCCTTTACTCCATGTGTTTTGATTTTGTTTCTGACCCACTGAGTCCTGGGTAATGTTACTTTTGTTTTTACTTTACACTTAGAATGTCATGGCCTAAGGAAAAGATCAGGCTGATCCCATTCTTCCTTTTTCAGATTATTTGAGATGTTGCTGTTTTCTAGATCCTTTGCTCTCTAGGTGATGGGCACTAAATTTAAAATGATGGCGATAATGATGTAAAAGACTGGTGACAGTCCATGGAGAAGATAGAGAGGACCCTCTGACCAGAAAACCCCAAAAAACAAAACAACAACAAAACCCTCAATTTCTTAGTTGATATCTACGGGACAGTATAAGCATCAACGGGATGTTGTTTTACTGTTGTACCGGCTGGTTTTGTGTGTCAACTTGACGCAAGCTGGAGTTATCACAGAGAAAGGAGCTTCAGTTGAGAAAATGCCTCCATGAAATCCAGCTGTAAGTCATTTTCTCAATTAGTGATCAAGGGTGGGAGGGCTCATTGTGGGTGGTGCCATCCCTGGGTCTTGGGTTCTATAAGAAAGCAAGGTGAGCAAGCCAGGGGAAGCAAGCCAGTAAGTAACATCCCTCCATGGCCTCTGCATCAGCTCCTGCTTCCTGACCTGCTTGAGTTCCAGTCCTGACTTCCTTTGGTGCTCCAGCAATGTGGAAGTGTAAGCTGAATAAACCCTTTCCTCTCCAACTTGCTTCTTGGTCATGATGTTTGTGCAGGAATAGAAACCCTGACTAACACAACTATGTAATGCTACTTTTCTCTATTTCCACTCATTCTGAATCAAAAGCATGGTTTTTGTGCATCATTCTCTGGACTGTACAAATGAGATTTTTTTTTAACTGTTTCTTGCTTTTTATAAGATTTACCTAGAAGGAGTTGGGGATTAGGTTAATGTTAGAGTGTTTGCTGGCCCAGAATCAGAAGCTGTCTGGAGGAAAAGCTTTATCCAGGAGTGTACAAAGCCTCATGATTTAACTGTGTCTACACAGGTAATACTAGAATGTTAGTTTATGATGTTATTCTGTGTATGTACTTTGGGTTCAGCTCTCTGTTATATAGTGTTGCACAGCACCATTCTATAAGCTAAACATCTATCATCTTCCTAAGCCCAGTGGTGTCTGCTTATGAAAGACCATTATGGTTCAGCTTAGTGATTGTTAATATTCCTTCATAGGAGGAGGAGGGCAGGGTCACTGAGCCTTCACCTGAGAATTCAGCCGCCTCTGCCAGCTACTTGTATGCTGTTTGCTCTAGTTACACATGCCTTCGAGATGTTGGGAAGGAGCTAGAGTATTTAGGCTGAAGTCTGGGTAGAGAGGGAAAACATTCATACTGGGTGAAGACCTTGCAGTTCAGCTATTTGTCACCCATACTCCTGTCAGCTCTTTACTCATACTCTGTAAGTAAACTCAGTAAAGTCACTGATTCCCTGTAGTGAACTTTGGTGAAATTGAAATTTGATTTGTTGGTATCTTTAATGGAGGGTAGAGCCATTGTTTAGTTTCTCTTGTTTAGAAAGGGAATCCTCACAATATATAATGTTATTATATCTCA